ATTTTTCTTTTCTTGAGCTCTGTACTTAAGACTACAGTGATGTCCTGTTTCTGTTGCTAACCAGCATCGTGTGATTGTTAACCAGTTGCTGCACCTGAATCTGTTTTCTTTTTGTTAGAGTTAATAGTGTCCAATGTTTGAGTGAATTAAATGAGATCATTCATGTCTAAACTACAGAACCATGCTTCTGTATACAGCAGTAGTGCTGTACCAAATCATTCATCTCAACAAGAAGAAACCTAAATTCCAAAACACACATAAAAACTATCAGATGAATTTCCCAAAAACACTAATTTTAACTGTTTCATTCCCCTGAAAAATATTTAGTAGCCCCCCCACCAACTGAAGTAATATTATTCCCATCTGTAATGATGAAGGTGATTTGCCTGGCAATGCTAGCCTTCATGTTAGGTTCTTTATATTTGTTGCTTCTAATCTTTACAACAACCCTGCAGGGAAGCTGTCATTCTCTTCATTTTCCAGATGAAAAATTTTTGAGCTATTTCCAAATTTTGCTATTACAAAAGACCTCACAACGAACATTTTTTTCAATTATATCTTTGCAGATGAGATTCTTATGACTGGAATTGCTGAGTCAAATAATATATGTTTTATGTGAATACATGTTTATATGTTTTAGATTTTTATAGATACTAGCAAATGCCAGGGATGGGGAGAGGGGCTGAAATAATTTACACTTCCAAGAACAAAACTACTTTCTTTTACCCTTGCCTACACTAGATGTCAAAGCTCTTCAAAATTATTTTGGCTAATCCAATGAATTTTTTTTTAAATGTATCTCATTATTTTTTGTTACAGTTACAGTCCTACAGTCCTTACTTTGCTAAAAATTCTGTAAGGAAAGAAGATGAAAAAATACAATCCACAGACCTCAACTGCATCCCATACTTCCCATCTATGCCTTCAGTGATAAGCATCCTGAAGAGAACTGTCTATACACACAGTCATGGACATGGATAAGATCCAAACATAATACACAATTATTAAATCTAACATATAAATGTCTTGTAAGACTAAATGCTATAACATACTGCTATGTGGGACTAAAATGACATGATATGATTAAAATATACATATATACACAAACATACCAGAAAGAAAGAGAACTTGCAAGAGTACAAAATGCCTTTAAACCAACATCCCTTTTTTCCAGAAGCTGGTAGTTTTACTTTTCAAAGCTTTTTTGTAATCTCTGAAAGAACTTAATCCTAACAATCCTTACATTCTCCTATTGCTGGTCTTTTACTGTTCAGAATTTAAAAAGCCCAGAGGAGAAATACAGAATGGAAAACAGTTTGAAAATGCAATCTGTTTGCTCAACACATTAAAATTATTGAAAACTGCTACTCTTCATGAGCTATTTATAGATTTTTAAAATAAATTAATTAAGCAATAACAAACAATAAGAAATGGTTTTGTTCAAATCATGTACAGGAAGGATCATTGTAATCCAATCCCATTTCATGCAAAATAAGCATAAAGAATAATCAGTCTTATAAAATTTAGTATATGTTTACATTTGGGGGAATTTAGTTTGTTACATATTTAAAGCAAACATATATAGCTAATTATTCAGAAAAAATAATTTTTTTACAGATAATAAGTGGGAACATATCAGATTGATAAGGCACAAATAGATTCTCTATAAGCAAAAAAAAATCATCACACTATTTGTATGACAATAAAGAAAATCAAAAACTAATGAAAAATTTCCACATTTGATTAAATTTCAAGCATGACATGTATTTACAATAAAGGAATTCCACAATACCAAACTAAAAAAGAAAGACTTTAAATCTTCTGCAAGTCTTCCTTACTAAAAGTTACCATCAATGTGGCAATCCATGTTATGGCACTCAAAATAATCAGATTTCTAAGAATATACCCTGGTTAGAATAAAAACTACCACATTTGGCCACCAATCACACAAATTCCATTTATGTGCATGACAGAATCTTTAAGTAATTTTATTTCATTGTTATTTTTATGGAACTTACCACCTAGAATCAGGTATTTTAAAAGGAATATCTTAAATGGTATACTCTGATGGGAAAATATTTAACACTAAGGAAACTATGTCACAAACAAGAATCTGCCCTCCTGCACAGAGGAAAGAAGAGGGACTACAAGCCACATATTTTCATAGGGAATAAAAACAGACAGCAATACTGCCTTCTAGTTACAAAACAGTCTTTTTGATGATAGGAGAAAGTTCTCTTACAGGCTGAATGTCTTGTAATTTTTATTAATACTATTTAATCCTCCATAAACATTTATTGATCTTACTTTGTAGAAATCTTTAGGATAGATGACACAGGCGAGGGGTGGGGAAGACTAATGAAATCAAGGTTCTTTTTTCAATAAGAGATTAAATAACAGAAACAAGTTTAACATAACATGGAGGGCAGTACACCAAATATGAATTTCCAAAATTTTTTAAAGTGCTCTAGAAGACATAGGAAAAATATTACATCTCTCTAGAAGGATGAAGAAAGCTCTCCCAGTAAAGGTAACAAAGGAGCTGAGCCTTTAAGGAATGAGAGTAGGAAATGTGGCAGGCATGCCACTGAGGATAGTGAAGAAAAGCATGTGACAGGAAAGAGCCAGCCATATTTGGATTGGGACATAAAATCCAAAGATCTTATGTTGTGTTGTAGCTCAGTGGTAGAGCACTTGCCTTGCATGCATAGGGCACTGGGTTGGATCCTCAGCACCACATAAATAAATGAAATAAAGGTATTGTGTCCATCTGTAAATAAAAATTTTCAAAAAAAAAAATTTTTTTTTAAAGGACTTTTTTTCCTTCCAGTACTGGGGGTTAATCCCAGGGGTGCTCTACCACTGAGCTATATCCCTCACCTGTGTGTGTGTGCGTGTGTGTGTGTGTGTGTGTGTGTGTGTGAGAGAGAGAGAGAGAGAGAGAGAGAGAGAGACTCACTAAGTTGCCCAGCTGGTTTCAAACTCGCAAAGCCCTTGCTTTAGCCTTCCAAGCAGCTGAGATTTCATGCATGTGCCACCATGACAGGCTAGAAATAATTTTTCTTGTCTTCATTTATAGAGAATTTGATCTCTTCTCTTCCCTGAATTGAAATCACATGCTGACTTATTTTCTGCAACATGAGTTCTGGAATGCAAACTCATATCTGATTTATTTTCATATCCTTATCAAATATCCTAGACATAAATTCCAAATAAACATTTTTTAATGATTGACTAAATATATGAATGAATATATTTAGTTTTATATTAATATATTATATATTAATATATATTAATCATATTAATAATATATGTAATTATATATTAATATATATTAACTATATTAATAATGAATATAATTTTATATATTAATATATTATTTATATATTGATTATAATAATAATGAATATATTTATATTGACTAAATATATGAATGAAACTAGGAGTTGCTACATTTTTTATTTATTTTATTTATTTTTTTGGTACCAGGGGATGAACTCAGGGGCACTGGACCACTGAGCTACATCCCCAGCCCTATTTTGTATTTTATTTAGAGACAGAGTCTCACTGAGTTGCTTAGTGCCTCGCTTTTGCTGAGGCTGGCTTTGAACTCATGATCCACTTGCCTCAGCCTCCCAAGCTGCTAGGCTAAACTTCATAAGGATCTATAAGATAGGCTAGTCAAGCCAATCTCTGTCACAATTACTCAACTCTGTTGTTATTGGGCAAAAACAGCCACAGACAATGCACATAGTTGTGTTTTAATAAATTTTATTTACAAAGGGCTTAGTTGTGTTTTAATAAATTTTATTTACAAAGGGCAGCTGTATTTGTCCCATGAACTATAGTTTGCTAACACTTCATCTAAACAAATTTAATGTATTATATTATCCATGAACATTTAAACATAAGCATTATATTCAAATCATTTTTATAACACTCAAAATTCCAAAGAAGAGAAAAAGAAAAAGAGATTTACACAAGAAAAACTGGAATATGCTGGATCAAATCTGGTAAATGTAGACCTTTAAATACTTCCATCAAACTTTTCCTCTCCAGGTATATATTTAGGCCTTAGTTTTTAATCCATAAAACTAGTTAAAATAGATAATTCTAAGGTAGGACTCTATGATATTAAGGACTTTCCCAAGGTAAATTTACAGATTTTTACATGGAAATTTCATCTAGAAAATGATTTTAAATAATTTTGAATCTATAGAACAAAATGCAAATTTCCAAAGGGGGAAAAAAAGTCTTACCATATTAGCATGAAGACAATGTAACATCTGGCATAATTTCTCTAATCACCAAAAAATTAACAAACATTAATCAAAATCATATGTTGTGCCTAAAACCTACTGATAAATACTCCTGGAAAGCAAGTTTAATAGCAAATTCAGGTTAATTAATCTAATTAGGATGGTGATATTAGGAGAATATTCAGCTCGTTTAAAAAAAAAAAAAATCCTAAACTAGGAAACAATAAGATTTGATTTTACATATGATTTGCAATAAAAGGGGAAAAATTAGAATCTTACTTCTAATTTAATATTCAATATTTATGGTGTAATATTTAAATCACTAATGTATCACTAAATTGCCTGACACATTTACATTTAAAATCTAAAATTTAAAGACCATTCAATATACAATAAATTAGATATAATATGGTTTTATAGCTTTTCTACTTTTATAATTACTTTTCAAATCAAGACTTGAGGTATGGAATAAAAACTCTTCATTTTTCACAGTTTTTAAAGATTTGAGGTCTGGGGATATATTTCAGTTGGTGGAGTGCTTGCCTTGCATGCAACAAGGCCCTGGTTTTGATCCCCCGCACCCCCCAAAAAAAAAAGAAGAAGAAGAAGAGGAAGAAGAAGAAGAATCGATAGGATGAATTAGAATTCTATAATTTATCACTACCCACATTTACAAAAGCCATGCCACGATATTGCTTTCTGAAATCTAGGTTAACAATTTCTGGTTCATTACAAACTTACCAAACACTTGGCAAATTCTTTGTTTTCTGAAAGGAATCCATAACCTGGATGTACCTTAGAAATGAAAATAAAAAGCTCTTTCAATTTTAGCATATTTCAAAACCTGTATGAGCAGCAGATGTGGTGTATGCATGTGTTTGTTCTTCAACAGTCCTTGACTGAAGTTACTCCTCACACACTGATCAGCTGTAACACACACTTCTGGGAAGAGAATCAAATCCCTGCTTTGTCCCAACCTTAATCACAGCCATATACCTACAATCTTCCTGCCCTTTGTCTACATAACATAAACTCCCTCTATTTTTTGGTCATGTTTAGAGAATTTCACCATGGCTGATACCTCAAAGAAATACATTAGAGGAAACTTCAGCAAGATGGATGAAAAACTCTGAATTCCCCTTCTTTCCAGTAGCAGGAACTGCCATCTTCCAAAACCCAGCTACTAAGCCAACTGACACATTTTATTCCTGATGGCATAAGATACACAGCCACTAGCCAATGAGCCTTTTCCCTCAAATTAAACTAAAATCAAGGCTTTGCTTTAACTTTTACTTTGTACTCTGAATTTTTTTTCCTTCTTTCTTCCTCACCCCAGATTCAGACATTCACATCTACACTATGCTACCCTCCCCCATATGCCACAATCTAAATCCTACTCTAATCAAGTCAGTTTTTATTCTATCACATGGGCCAAACATAAATTTAGCCACTGCAGTACCAGGCAGTGTTGAACAAATTTCTAGTAAAACAATTCTGCTGAAAGGAAAGTCACATTTCTGAAGAAGCCAATATCATAACCTAGAAGTAACTGAACTGAGTTTTATTAACATGACACAGAAGAATTTAGATTATGGAGTTTAAATTTGCTTCATTTCCAAATTTATGAAAAAAGTTTTCCACCAATTTCATTTTATATAAACATTCAACTAAAGGCTGTCTTCTGACAAGCTATAGTTAAAAACATTGAAAGAGTTTTACTTTCTTTAATTGTGCTGATAAACTGTGAAAATCTATAATATGGGTTCATGAATTCAGTTTTTTATTTAAACATGTATCTTACTAAAACATTTCTTTCAAAGAACTGTGAGCACTAATTGAAGCACTCCAGGCTAACTGCCAGTGTTGGCTGCTTCCACTCAATTTTAGAGATAGCTCTGCATAGTTTTTAACATCTTATGTAATTAGTTCTCTGACATTAAAAACAAAACAAAATAACCCACTATTTCTCATGTCAGAAACCATCCACTTCATTGTGGATCCTACTCCATTCAAGGCAAATTGAGGCGCAGAAAATTATAGATTTATTAGTAAGTTATGGGCATTTTATTGACATTAACAAACCAAAATAACTACTAAATATACTTTTTATATTTCTGGAAATTTAACTATGTGTACATAATTCTTAAATGACTAAAATGAAACTCAAACAAGGTCTTTTGGATTCTGTTTATAACAGTTTTCTCCTTTTTTTGGTTTTGGTGGGTTTTTTAATGCTCTTATTACACTGAAAGGGTTAATACTCAAAACTAATTGGGATTTCTTTTTCCTAGCAAATTTGGAAATGAACTGAAACTGCTCCCTGGTGTGAAAGCTGAATCCAGCAGCCACCTGCAGGATCAGCGACCAACACTGCCAGATGCTACAAAGCCTTTGATTTCCAGTAGCGAATTCGGCCACATTTAACTCATGTGACATGAACTAACTGCAACAGCATTTTCAATCATTCTTTCTTATTTTTTTTTTTAATACAAACTCTAGCTTTCTGCTCACTACATATGAAACAGCTGCAGTAGATGGGCTCATTCAGACTCACAGCTTGGGCCCTGGTTTTCTTAATGGCTTCCATGATGGCATCCATGTTGAGGTAGCTTTTACTGGTGGGAGCTGGGCCAACACAGACGGCCTCATCCGCCATTTTCACGTGAACCTGAAGAGACAAATCCCTGCATTAACAGATGCTCCCAGCAAAAAGAATCACAGTCATCCACAAATATACACAAAACCACAAATCTGATCATTTCACCTATCATTTACAGACTTGGATTTCTTTTTGAATGTGCACTAAAAAAACAACAAAGCACCAAAAAGGCTCAGGAACTGCACTGCCCACAATTTCATGTATTAAAAGCCTAATAATCCATTGTCTAACCAAATAATTTTCATAATATCCCCTACCTATTTAAGTAAAATCACAGCAAACAACCGTAGCTTCCTATTCAGTTCATCTATACATAAATCTGATATCAAAAACTACCTTGTTGCATGTAGCCAGGAACCCGATATTTTAATAACAAGCGCTCATGCCCACTTCTAAGCAAGCTCCCCAGGAAGTTGGGATAATTAGAGGGACTGAATGGAGGGATGCAGTGAGTGTCCCTGCACAGCATCAGGTCAGCACCAGGCACAAATTAAAGCCTAAGACTAAAGAGTTCAATATCACAACACATGAACCAGAAAATCTTGAGAACCATTTAAATACTCTCACATTCGATCCTTGTCCATTTTACATTCATCCCTAAAAAACCGATATGTGTATTAAGTTCTAAATCTATTCGGAATCTAGGAATGTATTCTCTATTTTTAAAATTATTCATGCTACAATATTTTAAATATTCATTTAGGTAGGCATTCAATATTGAAAACAGTAAACTGTTTATAATTTCAAAAGGAAACTATTCTTTAAAAATAGTAAAGGGATTAAACTGGCTTTTCTTAATGGTTTTCCAGTTAAGCAACTCAAAATCAGATGATAGTTATTTCACAAGGCAGATAAATAAAGCTGGAGCACAAACATGGACACTGAAACATTTTATGACCCACTCCCCACCCCCCACACTCCATTTCCAATTGTGGCAAATGATTTTGAGTGTTCTGTGTTATAGTCTTCAGTTCTGAAAGAATTTTTAAAAACTACTGTTTTAAATGAAATCTTTTAAAAAGTAGTCTTTTTAGAAAGATTCAGAATTCTTGTTATCAAATCATAAATGTAAAAAAATGTATACTGCAAGGTAAAGATAACCTGCCCAAGGGATTTACAGATTATTATCTTAATATAAAATACACTCTGTAATTCCTTTAATAACATCAGTTGCAAAGAAAGGCAGCCATTGTTTGCAAAGGGCTTTTAAATATTCAAAGAAACCTCCTGGTTCACCTCAGCCTGGTTTCTCCCCAACCTCAAGTGTCTCTTCGACCCTCAGACTAAAATTCCCCACCCAGTTCAGCTCCAGTGACTATCAGTTTTGCTGCTGTCATTACGGGTATGGTGCTTTGTTGATTTCTATTCCTATAAGAAACTGAATTCTTAATGATCCTTTAAAAAGAACACATTAGGGGCCTGGGCTGTGGCTCAGTGGTAGAGCGCTTGCCTAGCATGAGTGAAGCACTTGGTTCGATCCCCAGCATCACATAAAAATAAAACAAAATAAAATAAAGGTCTAAAACACACACACACACACACACACACACACACACAAGCCAGGTAAAGATAAAGTTATTATTTAAAGTTAAATTCACCCTCTTCTATATATTTTATTTCCCTCGGATACTACCTATTTACCCAACATGAACTTAAAGCTCCGGTTCCATCTGGGTCTTGCCCGATACTTCAGATTTGGATGAATCTCCTTTACTTTGAACTCCAACAGTACATAGCACAAATTTTGACATTTAATCATATTCTACTCAGCAACCTCATTTAAACTGATTTATAAACAATGTGTGTTATGATTTGCACACTCTCCCCCACCAGATAAAGTTCTAAAAGACACAGACTATCTTAAATTCTTTTTTAATCTCCTCTAGCATAGTGCTAAAAGCTTATCAACTCATGGATATATATGGATGGCACTTAACTTTCATCATTAAATGGTAAAAGCCATTGATTTGAGGTAAAAATCTAATTACAACTAAATGAAGTCTTTTCAATCTTAGCAACACATGCTGCAACGGACAATTGTACATAAAAAAAGAATTAAAAAGACAGAAATATGTATATGTGTGTTTATACTTACAGAATTTATACCATGATCATGAATCAAAAATGAAAAGGAGTTGAGAATACTAATAGTAATTTGGCTTCAATTCCAATCTTAAACTTTTATAATGATGCTACATATATAATTTTTGGTTCTTTGGGTTTTTTAAACTATCATAATAGATATTTTTCCTATATTATCACAAATTCCTTGTATACACACCAAGAATTACCTCAGAATCTAACACATTCACAGCTAATGCAAATAATAAACATTCAAATAAATTAATACATCAAAAGCAGGTCAAAATAGCACAAGGGCTTCATTAAAAGGGCTAAACACCAACTGTTTCTAAAGAAGAATTGATTCTTTTTTGTTTTTCAGAAACAAATCTTACTTCAAGGGGAAGGGTATATTCACATCTCAACAAAACTATGTTCTAATCCCGGATTGGTTTGGAGCAGATATTCTGGGTAAAACCAACTTGAAAGAAAACACTAGAATCCTCTGCCCCTGTGGTTCTCAGGGAAAATGATGAGTTAACCTGGAAAGAACAGTTTAAAATTTTTTTAAAGGTCAGTTTTGATTTTTTTGAAATTGTTTTACCAAATGCAACTATTTTTTCTTTCTGTTTTTTGCCTATTAATGCAGAACAATCTGTAAGCAAACAGAACTAATACAACTGTGAAGAATAATTTAACATTGCCTGGGCTGATTAGATGTATTCATGTTTCAAAAATTTCAACATCTGGAAACATACAGGTTCTTTTTATATATTTTAATAGTAAAAGAAAACTAAAACAAATATAACAGTTTAAACTGAGGCAAATTAATCAAATAGAATTTGCCGATGTTACAAAAAAGAAAACTCATTTTAAGTACTAATACTAAATCCAGCAGTGGTCAGTTTTCATGAACATTTTCATTCTCAGAAAACTGAGAGTTTCTTAAAGCATATTAGTTTCTCCTCCATGCATGCACAGTTTTAAATTTTCAATGTTTTTTACTCTTTAGAGGAAAATTCCTTGTACCAGCCTATTGTTTTTCAAGCAATGAACTAGCAAGATAAAATGTGTGTTTTTCAACTTATAGAACTGAAAAGTCATTTTCCTACTGACTTTTCAAAAATAAATTTAAATGTGTAGATATAAACAGGTTAAAATTATGCCTGGATTTTAAAACTTTGGGTTAATAGAAAAATTCCTATTAGTCAGTCACTAATACATACTGAAAAAGAGATTCCACTGAGTTCCTATTCTTATGATAAAAATTACATCTTAAGTGTTAAAAAATAGTAGGTCAGATGGTATATTTAGCATAAAGCTCAACTGTCTGAGGGAAAGCTTTTCAATGCCTTCTAAACTAGTACAGGTTGAGGAAGATAAGGAAGATATGTAGCACTGAAGATGTTCCTTCACACTGGGAGATGTTGAAGCCTATGACTCAACAAGATCTGCCGACAACAGGGGTCCACAGGGCACTATTTACCATGACCTCAGTCTTTCCTTGGATTTCCTTCCATGCTAATCAGTGTCAGGAAGGAACACCAGGAGGCTGGCTGTAATACAAACTAGAAGGGTTCCTACCTGAAAACTGCAGTGCCTCACAGGATCCAGCCAGAACTAGAAGCCACCGAATCCTCCAAACATTACTAACATAAGGAAATTACTGATACAGACTGAAAAAATTAAAGAAAGTTAACTGCATCAATCTAAATTTGAAGAAATGAAAAAAATATTTTTGAACAACCAGATAAAAACTTCTATTTCTGAGAGAGAGAGAGATCAAAACTCTTCTTCTTTCTTATAAGTATCTAAGGAGACCTTTACAAGTTTCAAGCATTATGGCACACTTTCCAGAAAGGCAGTTTCATCCCTAGTAAACAAAGAATGATTTTTTTACCCTAGGGCCCTAAGTATTACATTCACTTTGATTTCATTTTGTGTAGCACTAAGACATATTTATTCATGATTGTTTTAGATAGCAGAATTAAAGACTTAATCATTTTTTCTAACTTATATAATTATCAAAGTAGTAAAACTGGAACTTAAAATTTATAGGAAAAAAGGAGAATAAACAGGCTTTTGCCAGTTGCAAAATTCCTGGAACATTTTCTACGATTCCATTTTCATATCACAAAAGAGAAATGATTTTGTATTAATCCTGGGACCAAGCAAAGTTGGTCTGTCCCCCACTACCACTACCATCACCACCACCATCCCGCCAAGCCTTTGTCTTGCAGGGATGCATTCTTGAGGACACAGTGCACAACAGAAGAATGAAAAACAGCAACACTAGAACTATATTCTCACACAGACTCCTTGAAGCATCAAGTGAGAGAGGAAGAATGGAGGTGGAGGATCATGCAGACACCTAGTCCTGGGGAAAACCTTGGTAAAGGCATATGTCTGCAAAACTGGAGGGTGGGGTACAGCAGCAGGGGAAGAAACAGAGATGAGAATGAAAAGGGAAGTCTGGGTGGGGAGTATTGATGTGGTTGGAGGTAAAGGCTGGGAGAGCCAAGTGATGACTGATACATGGTTTGGGTTTATTTGCTTTCTTTTTTATTAGCTTAGCGGGGAAATAAACAAGTAAAGATAAGCCACCACAGTATGACTGTGTGGGACTACTCGATTCCTGGAGGAAGAGAACTGGGTTGTTTGCTGCTTGCTACAAAAGATACTGAGTCCTGAGCGGTAGTTGGGCAGAATCTTCCATGGGTCTTTCACATTTCTGCACATCTTGCAAGCAAACCCCTTTGTTACAAACTGCATTTGCATAGAAATCTTGGAAGAGAGTGTGTGTCTCCCCCTGGGGCAAATGTTCACACTGTGAGAAGAACCTCTCTGAGTTCCTCCCTATAAAGTAACCCACTGCACAGCAGGCATCCTCTTGACACTCTTGCATCATCCTGAAGGACCAAGGCAGCACTGCTCAGACTCTAAGCACC